AAAAAGAAAAAAAAAAAAAAAAAAAAAAAGGAAAAAATTAATAAAACTTATTAAGTTTGTGTATATATAATACTCTTTTATTTTTTTAAAATTTTAAAATTATAAACAATAATATGAATAATGAATATTCTTATTACTATATTTTTATTTAGGTATATCAAGTAAAAAATTATTTTAATATATTTCAATTCAATACATATGTATTTTATCGAATGCATAAGAAATCTTATAGAAAAAATAATATACTTTTATTAAAGTTGGATAAAATATTAGCTTATAGAATATTTTTTAAGAAAATTAAATAAATATTATTAAATTAAATTAATGAAATAAGTAAAATATTTATTGATAATTAACATATAATAAATCACATTTTATTTTTGTTATTTGTTTTAATTTTTGATTTAAACTACAATTATTTATATTTGTGTAAGACTTCATTCAATATATATATATATATATATATTTTTTTTTTTTTGCTTTTTATTTATATTAATTTTTTTAAATTTTAATTATTTACATTAAACATAATTTTAAAACATTAATATATATTTAAATATTGATAACTTTTTAAAAATATAATTTTTAAATATTTCTTTTTTTTTAATATTATTAATTAAAAAACATATATTATTTATAAGAATGTGTGTATATAGTATAAATAAAGGTTATTTTCTTATTTTAAAATTTTGAAAAATCACATTTGAAATAATGAATGTAAAATTTTTATTTTTTTTTATTTTAGAATTATTCTTGTCTTAGTGACTTTCTTTTACATTTTATTAGAAATTTTCCTTTTAATTCTTTTTTTTTTTTTTTTATTTTTTCTATTTAGATTTAGTAATTTAAAAAATTATCTAAAAAAAAAAAATAAAAATAAATTTCATATTAGTGAAATGTAATAAAATATAATTAAATAATGTTTTAATAAAACAAAATATTTATTTTTCTTTCATATTTTTATTGTAATAAATTTTTTTAAACTATATTTTTTAATACATTTATTTTTTTTTAGTTTTTCTGTTTTTTATTTTTATTATACTATTTTATATATATCTTTTTTTATATATATAAAAAGATATAAAGATGTCTTATATTAACAAAAGTTTAAGTAAAAGTATTAATTCTCTTGTTCTTCATTTTGAATTTGTGAAATGTAAAAATTTAAATGATCATACGAAAAAAGGAAAATATTATTTAGTAATATCTTTTGATCAATTAATGTTTTATGAAAAGGATTTTTATGAAATTCAATTTAAAATATTTTTTTATAATATCCATCAAATATATCATTGTGATAAGTCAAATTATATTCATATAACTTTGAAAGAAGATGCAGTAAATACATTATTATATTTTTTATATTATTATTCATGAAGTACTTATCATTTTATCAATTTAATATTTGAAATTTTATTTTCTTTTTAAATAGTTAACTCATGATATTGGTATAAAAGGAATGAACAAAAATATTTTAATAAAGCATTTGTGTATTGGTTATAGTACTTATTATATGTTTAAATCAAATAAAGTTAGTAATATAAAAAAAATATTTATTCAATACACACACACACACACACATATATATATATATATATGTAAAAAGAAAAATAATTTTATATTGTCTTTTTTTTTTTTTTTTCACTTTAAGAATATTTATGTTCCCATTACAAAAGAAACATATAAAGAAAGATGTAATAGAACAAATGAAAATTCTCAAATAAAAAAAATTGATAAATCTATACAGCCATTTATAGGGTTAGTTTAAAATATTATTTACTACAATTAAAATGGAAATATTTATATTTAATGATTTTAACATTTTTTTTTTTTTTTTTTTTTAGATATAAAAAAGTTATATATGATGATTACTTTTTTTTTATTCATAAATCATTTCAAAGTTAGTATTAAATGAAAAGAGTTTAAAAAATGATATAAGTTATTATATTAATTATATATGATACATAATTAATTCTTTATAATTTTTATATACAAATATATCTATTTCAACCTTTTTCTTCTCTCAAATAAGATGCTACTTCTATTTCAAGTGGAAGTGGATTTTATGTTGATTCTAGAGGTAATAAAAATAGATTAAAAGAAAAATATCGCTCATTATTAAAAGGGATATAAAAGAAAATTACAAATATTAATATAAATAAGTTTATTAAATTTTTTTTTTTTTTTTTTTTATAACAATAGGTGTAGAAATAAGTGTAAAAATAGGAGATCAAAAAAGCATGATAGAATTAGACCAGGTTATATAATATATATATATATATAGATTTAACAGAAATAAAAATAAAAGTTTATAAAATAAAATTTATTAATTTTTAGACAACAGATAGTAATTTTTATCAGTTAGCAAAAGATCACCTTAACTTTTTAATTGTAAAAAAAAAAAAAAAAAAAAAAAAAAAAAAAAAAAAAAAAAAATATATATAAAATAACTAATTATTAATTTCTAATATATATAAATTAGCAAGATGTAAAAATTCCGTTAATAATAAGAAAAAATTTTTATTACAAAAAAATGAATCTATCAGATGATATTGCTAAATGGGTAGGATATGAGGTAAAAGTGATTCATTGGAAACTTTTTTCATCTAATTTTAAAAAAAAAAAAAAAAATTATAATTTTTAGAGATACATATATTTTTACATTAAATAACACTTTATATAATAAATTAAATTGAATAAAAATTTATTATGCTTATTTTTTTTTTTCTTTTTTAGATTTATTTAAAAAATGAAACTCATACAATTGTCTGTATTATATTTAGAAGAACATGTAAGAAATAGAAAAAAAAAAAATTAAAAATTTAAATAAAAACATATATTTTTTTTTTTTTCTACAAAAAAAAAAAAAAATAATTTTAGTTATTCCTCCTCTACTTGATAGAAGACAAGATATAATATTTACTTTTAGAATATCTTACGAAAATCAGCAAGGTTGTTAATATATATTTTTAATTTTTTCTTTATATTTAATATATATTAAAAACAACTTTTAAAAAAATATGCATTAGATATTATGAAAATATCTTAATAATAATATTTAATATTTTTTATATATTTTTTTTTAATCTATATATTAGAATTTAATGTAACTGATAAAGATTTATATGATGAAGTATATATTGTAGCTAATTCAATTACTCCTAATGATATTCACAACACTTAGTAATTAATAAAAAAAAAAAGGAATATATTTTAATAATATATATTAATAATATATATTAATAATATATTTTAATATAACTTTTCTTGGTGATATGTTATTATTAATTAAGGATACTAATTTTATAAGAATAAACATACATACATATATGTATATATATATATATATATATATATATATATATATATATATATATATATATATATATATATATATATTTTTTTTTTTTTTTTTTTAGTTATGTTAATTTAATTCAAGCACAAATAGATGCATTGTTATATAATTCTGAGATTTATGAATATTTTGAAACACGGATAAAAATAAGAGTAAAAAGAAAATAAGTATATTATATATATATATATATATATATTTTTATTACTCTTTTTATATAATTTAAAATAATTTATTAATTGAAGCCGTCTTATTTTGAATACATAAAAATGTTTCTGAAATCAGTTCTAATAATTTTAAAAGAAGGAGATGTGAAAATTAATTCTGGTTTCAAAAAAAAAAAATAAAAAATATATCTCAATATTTGTATTTTATTTGTTATAAGGTTAAATATTATTATTTTTTTTTTTTTTTTTTTTTTTTTAATAGATATAATTGATTTTTTAGGAGATGATATTAAAGTGGAAAGAAATCTCGAATATTTACTAAATATTTTATTAAATCAAATTCCTGGTTAAAATAATTAATAGAATATTATTAATATAACAAAATAAAGCATAAATATTTGTTTTATATATATATATATATATATTTTTATAAATAGGGATAAATTTATTAGATACACATAAAAGGGAAAAGATAAAAATTAATAGGATTTTGCATCGATTATCTTATTATTTAATTTATTGCTTAGATGCAGGATTATTATGTATAAGATTAATATAATATAAATAATTTAATTTATGTTTTTATTTTATTTTTTAAATGAACATCTGAATAATTTAATTTTTGATTTTTAGCTGAAAAGTATAATACAACAGATTTTATAAATGGAATTTTAATCATAAATAAAGATAAAAAAAAAGTACAAATTAAACATGAATAAATTTTTTAATACAAAAGTATTTTTTTTATAATTTTTAAATATGTTAAATTTATAGGATATAGATGATATAGTAAATTTTTTTTTACATTTAAGAGAAAAAGATTTCACAAAAAATTATGAAACAAATTGTTTAGACCTACTAAAAGAAGATGATAAATCTGAAATACAATTATCTAAAAAGTTAGACACAAATAATTATTTAATTAATGATTTTTTCTTATTTTATTTGCATCAATGTGGATATATTAATAAGGTTTTTTATTATAAAAATGATGACAATTATAAAAAAATTATTTCATCTATATTGAAATGTGGAATTAATTTTAAAATAAAAAAAAAAATTTGTAAAAATTTATTAACTTTTTCTAATGATTATAAAAATAGATATTTCCCATTGGTTAATTCTATAGTTTCTTTTTTAAGTTATAATTGTGATAAGAAAAATTATTGTATGCTTATATTGAGTACATTAATAAATATAACAAATAATAATAATGTCATAAAAGATTATTTAATCAAATTAAATATAAGTAAAATAGCTAATTTTCTAATTTTATCAAACGATTTTGATATAACACATAAAATAATATTATTATATATAAATTTAAGTAAGGACGCTCATATGTGTGATGATATTATAAATAATGGTTTAATTATTCATTTATTGGATATCCTTTTTAATTTTTATTATATTGATTTAAAATTAAAAAAAGAAATATGTATCAATATATTATGTATAATTGGTCAAATATTTAATTTCAAAAAACATTACACCTTTATATTAAATCATTATATTGGTTTAACTGAAGTTGCTATATATATTTATGAAACAACGGATTTTATTTATTTCGATAAAATTAAATTAATTTATTTTTTTAGACAAATATCTCAACATAGTTATATGATAAAAGAGCAAATATGCAAACATTTAATACCATTAATAATGAAAGAAATATATTTATTTATAAAAAAAGATTTTATATATTCTTCATTAAATTTATTAAATGTTATTTGTGATTATAAAATGAACTGTCTATATTTGCAAAAAATTAAAATTTTTAATTTATTTAATTTTATTAAATCACTTAAAATAATAGATTTATATAAAAAAGTTGTACTTATTGAAAACAAAGTTAAAAAAAATTTAAAAATAATTATTTAAAAAAAATTTGAAAATAATTATTTAAAAAAAATATTTATTCAGAAATGTTCATCAAATGAGAATTCTTAAAAAAAGTATTTTTAAAAAAAACTATTAAATAATTTTAAAATTATATTTAAATTTAATAAATATATATATATATATATATATAATATTACAGTGGATAATTTAAACTTTTATTTAGTAGAATTTATTCAAATTTTTTTTCAATAACAATAATAGATTCACTCTACAAAAAAAAAAAAAAAAAAAAGAGAAAAAGATAGAATCATAATATATTAAGTGTAATTTCAAAAAATAGTAAGTTAATAGAAAAATACACAAAAATAAGTAAAACTATATATATATATATATATTTATACTTTTCTTTTCTTTTTCTTTTTATTTTGCAGATATTCATATGGATAAGATTCTTTTCCCTTTAACCAACGAAGAATTTTTAAAAAATGGTTTATCTAATTTTAAAAAAAAAAAAAAAAAAAACAAAAATGTAAAGGTTGAATTTCCTTTTTTTGAAGTTTATTTTATTTTTCTAAATTGTTACATCTTTAATGTCACAAATATATTTGAAAATATTCCACATTACAAAGATATAAATAGAGACAAAAGCAAAAGGAATAAAGAATAAATAAAAAATTTCAGATTTAGAAAAATATTTTAATGCATCATTAATTTGTTTTTCATTTTTTTCCTCCAAACTATTAATTATAATTTCCTTTTTTATATTAAATATTTTAGATGTTTTCAAAGCTTTAAAATTCATAAATTTATTTATTTTAAAAAATTTTCTACGAAAAAATTTAATCATTTTTAATAAAGTTCAAAAAAGAATATAAAAAAAGAAAACAAATATCATATAATACAAAATTAAATATTAAAATTAGAAAATTAAAAAACAAACAAAATGAAAAATATAAAAAAAAAAAAAAAATAAAAAATAAGTATAAAACAAATATATAAAAAGTTTAATTATAATTATTAATTAAAACATATATAAATTTTGAAAAATTTTTCTTCTCAATAAATGATCTACAAAAAAAAAAAAAAAAAAAAAAAAAAAANAAAAAAAAAAAAAAAAAAAAAAAAAAAAAAAAAAAATTAAATAAAAAAATTACGTTAATCAAAATTAAAAAATATTAGGAAAAGATATCAAAAAGAATGAAAATAGGAACTCATATATTTTTTATTCATGTTTATATATATATATATTATTTTAAAAGTAATTAAAAATAATCAATAATAAAATAAGTAAAATTAGTGGTATATTATAATATTTATTAGTGAAAAAGTAATAACAAGAATTATTTTTTTCTTTTAAAATACCTTTAAGATCTATTTTTCTATTTGGTGTATTATCTTTCGTTTCTTCACATATTACATTTAAACTATTTCCCTAAACAAAAATTAATATAAAGATTTATGAGAAACAATATATTAAAAAAAAAAAAAAAAGAAAATTCTTGTTTTAATGAATCTCTTAATATTTTACTATTTCTGTTTTTTTTTTTTTTTTTTTTTTAATTACATTTTTTAATTTATTATAAGCTGATTGAATTTTTTCAAACATTTTTTTCCAAGTGTTTATGCTATATGTATTTACAATTTTTTTTGTTATAGGACAATATATATTTGCTGTCATATCTTTATTCTCAATAATTTGGTTATTATATATATCTAGTGTTATTCCATTTCTGCAAATATCACTAGAATAAAACTACATCAAAAAGTAAAATAAAATAAAAAATGTTATCATTTAAAAACATACATAATAGTATATATTATATTTTAATTTTTACTTCAAAAAATCCATATAATAATTTTGAAATGTCTTCTTTGTTTTTTTTTAAATTTGGAAATTTCGATTTGATATCCCTAAAGTTAAAAATAAGATATTATAATTTATAAAAAAAAAAAAAAAAAAAAATCAAAAGTTTATATATATTTCTTTTTTAATTACTCTATCTTTGTATAAAATGGCATTTGTACTTCGTCTTGTAAAAAGAAATCTTTAGAGAAGTTTAAAATAATTAAAAAATATATTTATTTTAGAAAAAAAAAAAAAAAGAAAAAATGTAATTTTTTTTTTTTTTATTAACATTCACTATTAATTTCAAAAGAAGATGCATCTTCCCTTTCTAAAGACCTATTGGAAAAATAATGAAAAAAAAAAAAAAAAAAAAAAAAATATATGCATTAATAGGATTTTTAATTTTTATTATTCTAATAAACAATTTCTTCAAATATATTAAAAATCTTACTTATATGAAGGTAATATTGGAACATTTAAATTTTGAAAAAAGTAATAAGTTAACAAAAATAACGCATACGAACTGAAAGTACCTTGAGATCTTTTAAAAAAATAGTTGAAATAAGAATATACTAATAAATATATTTATTAAAAAAAAAATTTAACAAAAAAAAGGAACATTTTTATAGAAATATAAAAACTTTCTAATAAATTACCTGTTATTAATATTTTTCTGTTTTGCCCAATATTTTATTATTCTATTTATTATTGTAACTCTTTCATCTATATTACAGATTGATGAAACAAATTTTGTATTTACAATTGCAGCTGTATTGTTAATACTTATATCACATATATTATTTTGTTCTTCATATATTTTAGCTATTGGAACAGATGCCTTAATTATATTTATTGTTAATGATGGATAAATTAAATTAATTGCACTTTTTATAACTCTTAAGTTGTATAAATAAGAATTTTTATCTTCACAATTTTCTACTACTATACAACAATCAATATCTGAATTTTTTATCCTTTAAAAGAAAAAAATAATATACACATATCTATCTATATATATATATATATATATAATTTTATTAAAAAATAAAATGTTTTATTTTTCTTAATTTCATTTTACTTTTTCTACTAAATATTTTTTTTTTTTTTTTTTTTTTTACAATTTTAAAATTAATTACCATATATTATTTTCACATGAACCAACAAAATAAATTTTTCCTTTCAAATTTGGTTTTATTGCACTTTTTAATAAAAAATAAATTTCCTCTTTTTTTTTATCAATAAAAGAATTTTCTGTTAACCTTTTATGGATATTTAAAATTTCTTTTTTTAAATTTTTTTGATTTAAGAAATTATTTGTTAAGTTAATATTACTATTTGATTTATGGTTAAGTGAAATAGAACTACTTGAAGAGAATTTTCTGTTACATATGCATAAAAAATTGATTCTTTTTGTACTACTTAAATCGTGAAAACTTTTCTTCTTATATATTTGAATACCACTTTTGTCAATAAAACTTTTATTGTTAAAGGAATTTTCATATTCACTTAATTTTGTTCTACTTTCATTTTCATTACTAATAATATTTCTATTTGTATAAGATATATTTATGTGGTTCTTCAAATAAATCTCATTTTCTTTTCTTTTTAATATTATACAAGACATAAATTGTTTTTCTCGTTTTTGCAAAAAAATATTTTTTATAAGAGGTATTTTTATATATTCAATGAAAAGATGAACATTAAAAAGAGTAACCATTTTTGCTTAAAAAAAATTTATTTTCTGTCATTTTTATATAATTTTTAAAATTATTAAATATATATAAATACTTATGATTTTTCAAAAATACGTTATATTATTACACTTTTAAATAAATATAAGAATAATATATTACATATATAATAGAAGAAAATAAATAACTATGAAGGGTTCATTCTTTATTATAAAAAATTATTTGTTTTTTGTAATTTTGTTAAATTATGCTTGTTATGTTTTTTATTTTTTATATTATAATTTTTGCAATAACTTCATAAAAGAAAAAGTAAATATAAAAATTAATAAAAGCTCAAAAATACGAAAAAAGGCTTGAAAATATAAAAATGATTTATAAAAAAGAATATAATTAGTAATTGTTAGGATGGAATTTATTATGAATAACAAAATCATATTATTTATTTTATTTTTTTTTTTTTTTTAAAAGTTAAAATTCATTGTTACATTTTTAAAAAAAATTACAAAATATTTCTTTTTTTTTTTTTAATTTACATTATTTATATGCAAAGTAAAAAAGAGAAATAAAAATTAAATGAAATTTTAAATAAGAATTATCAACATACAAAATAAAATTTGGGTAAAGAATTTAAATATATATGTATTTATATTATGAACTTTCATATATTTGCAATAAAAATTAAAAATTGTAAATATATAAATCTAAGAAATTACATTTTAAAATTAAAAATTTATATATTATTTTTTTATATTATATATAATTATAAAACTTAATTTTTTTTTTTTTCTAAAGATAATATTGTATAATTTCATAATAAAGCAAAATCAATTATAATGAATTTGGAAATGTTAAATCTAATTAGAATTAATTAGGTTAATTATAATATATATTTATATATATAAAATAATTTAATTGAAATGAATTAAACATATTATTTAATTATAGAAAGAGTATAAATTTTCAACAAAATATACATATATATATATATATATAGACAATTTAAAATACAAGAAACTTAAAAATTTTACAAAACATATATTACAACAAAATAATATAGTATAATTAAAATATAAATAAATAAAAAGGGATAATTTACTTAAAATTTATAGGTAAATATATATATATATATTTATATATGTCTTCATTTTTGATTTTTTTGTTTTAAGATATCATCCAAATCATTTTTGCTGACTTGTTCATATCGAGCAAATTCCATTGTATATGTGCCTTGTCCTTGTGTAATAGCTCTAATTTCATTTATATAATTAAACATATGTTTTAATGGAATATCTGCATAAATATATATTATATTCATATTATTTACAATATTAATTACTAATCCTTTTCTCTTTGTTATACTTGTTAAAATGTTACTCTGATGCTCATAATTTGATATAATTTCCACATGCATAATTGGTTCTAAAAGTACAGGAGAAAAATTATGATAATTTTCTTTGATTAAATTTATGGTTGCTTTTTTAAATGCTAAATCATTACTATCCACTTCATGAATTTTTCCACCAATTAATCTCATTTTCATATTAATTATTTCTGAGTTGTATAAATATCCTTTTTCTATTTGTTCTTTAAAAGCTTTTTCAATAGATAGAATAAAGTTTTTTGGTAAATCATTTCCTATTACTTCGTTTACAAATACACAATGAGTAGAATCATTGTAATTATCAGAAATTGTTTCGAAAATTGCATGAACATGTGCATATAATCCAGCACCTCCCTTTTGTTTTTTATAAGTATATGAGCATTCATAAGGTCTTGTAATTGTTTCTTTAAAGTTAATTTTTGGATTTTTTAAATTAACATTAATGTTGTATTCTCTTTTTAGCCTTTCTTTATAAATTTCCAGTTGTAATTCTCCAATACCTTCAAAAATTGTTTCCTTTGTTTGTTCATCTGTCTTTACATAAAACGTAGGATCTTCTTTTGTAAATTTGTTTAAAGCTTTTGTTAATTTTGTCATATCTCCTTTTTTTAAAATTTCAACAGCAACCGATATAACGGGTTTAGGAACACATATATTTAATAAATGAAAATTAGTATTTATTCCATTAGTATAGGTTGTTCCTGTAGATCCATTGATTCCATTTACAGCAACAATATCACCTGCATATGCTTCATTAATTTCTTTTGCCATATTAGAATGCATTTTCATAATTTTTTTTACCACTTCTTTTTTATTAGTTATCATATTAGTTATCATGTCTTTCTTTTTAATTTTCCCTTGATAAATTCGAAAATAACTCATTTGGCCATGCATAGAATCTTCTTGTATTTTAAATAAAAATCCTACCATAGGCAAGGTGCTATCACATTTAAGTTCTACCTTTTTCTTATTTTTGTTTTTCATAAAATTTTCATTTGTATTTTCAATATTCAAAATTTCTACATTCTTTTCATTTTCATTTTCATTTTCATTGTTTTTATTTTCGTTAGAATTTTCTTCATAAATAAAACCATAATTATTAATATCCTTTGGTGAAGGCAAAAAGTTGCAAACATAATTTAGCAAAATTTGCACTCCAACATTGTTTTTTGCACTACCTAAACAAATAGGAGTTAATTTATTTTTAATTGTGCATTTACGAATAGTATCATATACATCAGAATTTTTAATATCATTTATATCATTGTTTAAGTAAACTTCTGCAAATTCATCATCTATGTCTGCTAACTTTTCAAAAATTCTATTCCTTAATAATTCTTTCAATTCCATGGAAAAGGAGGGGTCATATTTCAAAATTTCTTCTTCCTTTATTTCTTCCACAAGTATACCATTTTTTCCTTTGAATAAATAACCTTTTTTTTCAATTAAATCATATACTCCCTTAAGTTTTTGCTCAATTCCTATGGGAATTTGTAATAAAATAGTATTTAGATTCAATTTCTTTTCAATAGTACTTAAGGTTCTTTCAACATTTGCACCATCTCTATCTAATTTATTAATAAAAAGGATTCTTGGTATGAAATATCTATCCATTTGTCTATTCACTGTTAATGTTTGACTTTGTACACCAGAAACCCCACAAATAACTAAAATAGCAGCATCTAATACTCTTAAAGATCTTTCTACTTCAATGGTAAAATCAACATGACCAGGAGTATCAATTATGTTAATATTATATTTTTTGTCTTTTACATCCCAATTACAATTAGTTGCAGCTGACTGAATTGTAATTCCTTTTTCTCTTTCTAGATCCATCGAATCCATTGTTGCACCAATACCATCACTTCCCCTGACTTCGTGAATACTTTTTATTTTACCAGTATAATATAAAATTCTTTCTGTTAATGTAGTTTTTCCTGCATCTATATGTGCACTAATTCCAATGTTTCGCAAATTTTCTATAGAACTTGAAAATTTATATGAATTGTTCAGGAATAAAAATGTTTTATTATGAATTTTTTTTTCAAACAGCCAAATTTTCTTTTTTGCAAAAACTCTACAATATCCTATCATTGTCATAAAATATCTTATAAAATAAAAAGATAAATCAAATCATACTTTTAAATATTAAAGTAAAAAAAATATAAAAAAAATAAATACATATAAAAAAGCTAATTTCATGAAAAAAAAAAAAAAAAAAAAAAAAATAATAAATAAAATAATAAAAGTAAAATAATAAAAAATAAAATAATAAAAAAAAAAAATAATAAAAAAAAAATAAAATAAAATATATATATTTATATAATATTAATAAAGTGTAATTGAAATAAAAATATAAGAAAATAAAATAATAAATAATTATATTAATATATATATATATTAAAATAACTCTTATTATTATAAATAATTACGTATATAATTTTCATATTTTAGAATTATGAATGAAATAATTTACAATAAAATATATGATAAATTTTATCAAGTGAACAATTTAGAACTATGGATTATGAACTGTATATAATTTCAAATATTATGGGTAGAATTTTATAAAAATATATCTTTATTAGATAATAAATAAAAACATTTTTTTTTTTACAATTTAAAAAAAAAAAAAAAAAGAATGGAATACACTTTTTTATTTTTTTATGTTTTTTTTTAGGAATATTTATAGTTATTTTAATATTTTTTTTTCATTATTTATTTTCCGATATTGAAGATTTTAAATAAAAATATAAATGGTAATTATTTATAATATTTCTTTCAGATAGAAAATTTTTATTATACTTTAGTTTTTTTGTGTTACTTTTTGTATTATTTATTTATTTAAATTTTTTATATGTATATATATATATATATTGTATGTTCTTATTTTTGTTCTTGTTAGTGTAAATCATTTTACATTTTTCTATTTTTTAAAGAAAAATTTGTTAGTTTTAAATATAACAAAATAAAAAAAAAAAAAAGAAAATGAAAATTTTATGAAATAATTATTATAGTATTGTAATTAGACGAATTGAAATTTTTTTCATTTTTTTGTTCATAATAATAAAATGAAAGATTCCGAATTTGTTGGAGGAAAATTAAAAATTAAAGGATTAAAAATAAAAACGACAAATAAGAAGAAGAAGAGAAAAGAGAAAAGTAGTAAAAATTATTCTACAACCATAGAAAATAATGAAAATAAATATAATGATGAGGAATGTTTTACTAAGGATAATAAAAATGAAAAAACAAAAAATAAACAAGACATCGAATCTCTAAATAAAATAGATGATGAAGAAAAATTAAAAGAAATATTAGAATCTAATTTAACGGAAGCAGAAAAAGCATATCAACTAGTATTAAAAAAAAGAGAAAAACAAAGAATAGAAAATATTTTAAAAGAAAGTTATCGTGAACGCTTACAAAAATTCAATGATAATTTGGCTTCATTAAGTGAACATTTTGATATACCTAAAGTTGGCCCAGGGTAAAATTAAATAAAGGAAGGATATTATTCAAAAGGTTAACTATATTAAAATTACTAAAAAGAGTAATACCAAATGATTTTTATTTTAGAGGGAAATTAACGAAATTGGAGTTATTTAAATTAATAAAATAAAAAATATACATTATGTTGTATATTTAAAATTATTTTAACCAATATATATGATTTTGTTTTTTTAAAAATTCAAAAATTATAAATAAAAAATTTTTTTTGAAATTAAAAGTTGATTTTTTTTAGAAGATAAAATGTGTTGACTTCAAAATAAATTTAAAACTATAATATATTTGGGAAATTAAAATGAAATATATATATATATATATATATATATATTTAAGTATATTGTACAATTTAATGAAATATTATAATATAAAAAAATAACAAAAATTTGACAAAAATTAAAAAAAAAAAAAAAAAAAAATATATAGGATATAAACAAAATGTTATTTAAAATATATATTAAAAAAAAAATTAAGTAGAAAAATATAAAACAAAATTATAAATTTGTATAAAATAAATATAATATTTCAACAAAATAATTAAGATCACTTTTAAAATAGATATTGAAATGTATATGTAGTAATTATTTTTGTTTATAAATGTTAAAAATTACCTCATTTAAATGAGTTTATAAAAAAGAATATAAATTAAGACATGTATGAAAAATTGTTATAAAAATTATTAAAAAAAAAAATTGTAAATAGAAGATGTATATATATATATATATTTATTTTTTAAATGTAACAACTTAAAAGAATTTTTTATTTATTATCAAATTTTTAAAATTGAAAGATAATAAAAATTAAAAAAAACATGAAAATTTTGTATAATTAATTTCATATTCGCTACTTTATTAATATAATTTTATATTTTTTATTGATACTATATAAATCATAAAAAAATCATTATATATATAAAATTTTCTTCTCTAAAAAAAATATTTTCTATTTTTAAATAAACATTTAATATTATATTTAATATTTTTCTTCTTATATAATATTATCATATTTATATTTATATCAATTTTGCTATAATTTAACAATTTAGAAATATTAGACTTTTTATTTATTATATGTTATATATTTTAGTAATGCATTATTCTTTAAATAATTTAAATTAATTTATAATCATTTTTTTTTTTTTTTGTATCGATATTTATATAGTTAAAATTATCATTATTTTCTACATATTTGAAATATTAAAATATTTTATTATTTATTTATAATTTCATTTTGTTCTGTGATAAATATAAATGAATTATTTTAAAATAATGTTAGGAGGTAATGAGTTATTTTTTTCTTCTAGTGTAAAGCTATGTAATTGTTTAAAATTCAAAGAATCGTATATTTTATTTTCGTTAATATTTACTTTTTCTAAGTCATTATTTTTTTCATATAAGTTTGCATTAGTGCAATTATTATTTTTATTATTACAAATGTTATAATTTATGTTTTCATGATTTTCGTTATTATTTACTTCATAATTTATTTTCTCATTTAAATTATTTGATTCGTGGTTAGTTATTAAGTAATCTATAAACTTGGTGAAATTTAACTTTCTTTTTTTAGAATTTTTTAAAATATTAAAATTATTATCTTTTCTATATTCAGGATAATATTTCAAAATATCATTTTTTTTTTTTTTTTTTTCTTTGTTTGTCTTATTTTTTTCAGTTATGCTATTTTTGTTTTTATTATATTCACCTTTATTTACAATTTTAAAGTATTTATTACTTTCACTTATATTATTTATCTTTTTTTTCAGTAAGTTATTTTCATTATATTTCTTTTTTTCTTTTAGCATTTCTTCAGAAAAATCACTTTTATTATTAGATGCATTCTTCAATTTTCTTTCTTCATATATTTTTTTAAATAATTGTATAAANATGAAAATAAGTTAAAAAAGATAAAAAAGAAAAAAAAAAAAAAAAGAGAAAAAGAAAATGAAAATGAAAAA